GCCTCAGCCTCCCTAGTAGCTGGGAGTACAGGCACCCGCCACCGTGCCCGGCTAATTTTTTGTATTTTTTTTAGTAGAGACGGGGTTTCACCTTGTCAGCCAGGATGGTCTCCATCTCCTGACCTTGTGATCTGCCCGCCTCGGCCTCCCAAAGTGCTGGGATTACAGGCGTGAGCCACCACTCCCGGCGTCAGTAATCTTTCTTTTTTTTGAGACGGAGTTTGGCTCTTGTTACCCAGGCTGGAGTACAATGGCGCGATCTCAGCTCACTGCAACCTCTGTCTCCCAGGTTCAAGCGATCCTCCTGCCTCAGCCTCCCGAGTAGCTGGGATTACAGGCGCTCCACACCACGCCCGGCTACTTTTTGTATTTTTAATAGAGATGGGGTTTCACCACATTGGCCAGGCTGGCCTTGAACTCCTGACCTCAGGTGATCCACCTGCCTCAGCCCCCAAAAGTGCTGGGGCGCCCGGCCAGGGATCTTTTTACATAGTCTCCACAGCATGGCAATTTCAGGGGAGCCGGACTTTGTATATGGTGACTTTGGCATCCAAATGTACAAAACCCAGGAGAGTAAGAATCAGAAGTCACCATAGCATCTCTTTGCCATATCACCTTCACAACGTCCCACCAGGCTCAAAGGGAGGAGACAGACTCCACCTCTTGATGGGGATGGCAAGGTTCTGGAAGAGCAGGTGCAACTGTTAGTAATTGCATTGTGGCTGTTTCTTGAAAATACAAGGTGCAAGACACCACGTTTTGCTGCCCCACCTGGCTAGCAGTGAACATGGAGGCAGCTTCGTCGTCGTGCTGTGATGCGTCCCACATTCCAGTGGTTCGCATTTCCTGTACCAGACACTCCATTATGGTTGCTGCCTTTGGTGGAAGAATTTAGCCTGGCTCAGAATTCTGTCGAGCCCAGAATCTTACCAAACCCAGAATCAACATTTTTTTCAGATAAATAAATAGTAAATTCTTTTATTATTCCTAGACTATTCGTGTAATGTGGGCTAAGTAACACACAATGTGGTCTGACCAGTTATTATGTGTAATGAGTGTTAAATGGAGTGTGGAACTTACCCAGATTTTCTGAATTAACTCTGATAGATAGAAATAAATTCCACTTTCTACGTCTTTGTGCTGTTGTTTGTGTAAAAGAGACCATCCTGTGCCATAATTAAGCACTTGAGGGAAGCGCATTCTCCCAAATGGGCTGAAAGTTTACAGATGTGAATCACACATGATTGGTATGAACTAAATGGCATCGGAAGAGGTGAAATTAAGGACTTTTTTTCCTTTTGCCCTGGTTACCTCTGTCCGCATCCCCTCTTCTCAGAGTCCGATGTGGCCTACAGCTGGCAATAGCTTTGTAATCTTGATTGTAAAATGTACAAGCTGGCCGGGCACAGTGGCTCACACCTGTAATCCCAGCACTTTGGGAGGCCGAGGCAGGCAGATTGCTTGAGTTCAGTTCAAGACCAGCCTGGCAAACATGGTGAAACCACACCTCTACAAAAACTACAAAAAAAATCAGCCACGTATGGTGGTATTTGCCTGTAGTCCCAGCTATTCGGGAGGCTGAGTTGTGAGGATCACCTGAGCCAGGGAGGTCGAGGCTGCAGTGAGTTGTGATCGCACCACTGCATTCCAGCCTGGGCAGCAGAGCAAAACTCTGTCTCAAAAAAAGAAAAATAGGACACAGAAAAAACTTGGGTTTGGGTTGCAAAAGGGGTGAGAAGAGGTTTTGGAGATACAAAAGGAGTAAATATTGTTTCCTGAAGAGGGTTCTTCCAGCCACAATTTCTAAAGAGAAAATCCAGAACCTCTGGGCCTCTGAGCAAGATCCCTTCACCTGAGACTGAGCAGATGAAGACATGGGGGAAAGAAGAGATTGGCGTTTTCATGTATCTGGGATTATAATCCCACCTACGGGCATCGTTTGGCTTTTGCTGCATGAGCCACCCTAAATCTCGGTGACAACAATAAACATTCCTCATGGTCTGCAGTTTGGTTGAGAGTTGGATGATCCAGGCTGGGCTCAGTAATGGTCTGTGGGCCACCTGGTCTAGGCTAGGCCTGTCCAGGGCAGCTTGGTTCTCTATTTCTCTCACCATCTTCCCAAGAACAGTGAGGTGACCCAGCCTGTTCTTCTCATAGCGAAGGCAGAGACGCAGAGGAAAGCGAGCCTAACTGTGAAAGCCTCTTTCAGACCTGTGCTTGTGTCCTCTCTGTGAACCTCTCATTGGCCAAAGCAAGACACGAGGCAAAGAACACGGATGCAGGAAGGGGTGGGGAATTGGGGTCACTTATACTACCTACCACAATCTGTGCCCACTGCCCCCATTATTCATGTAAAATTTGCCACCCCCATGTAAGGACCCCCCTCCTAGTTTCTTCCAATCACAGCCTCAAGCAAGATGTTTACGATCTTGTGAGCCACATCAGGTCCTAATATGGCTTTTACTGGTCTAGAAGCTTATGAACTTTTTGAAAAGACAAGTTATTGTCCACTTAGACCCAATATACAGTGACAAGACAGGGACAGGATAAGGTCCCTTGGTAAGGGAAGAATGAAGGGGTGAAATAGTAGTCACATAGCCATTTTGAAACTCGTGGAGTCAACATTGCCAGGTCCTCTACTTTAAAGCTAGGGAATGTAAGGCTTTCGTTCTGCAACCTAGAAGTGGCATAGCAGCACAGGAGTTGGCAAACATTTTCTGTAAAGATCTAAACAGTAAATAGGCTTTGTGGGCCACATACAGTCTCTATCACATATTCCTCTTTCTCCTTTTCTTTTTTAAAGATATGAAAGTCTTTCTTAGTTTAGGAGCTGCAGTTTGCCATTGGGCCCCACACACTGGCCTGCACTGACACATCCTTCTTTCTCTGTCACACTTCTGAAAAGGGCATTTTAAAATGCACCAATTTGGGCTACTGAGCCTGCTTTCTGCTGGTGGAAAGATTGGGAGTCTAGAAGTCCTTTCACACTTTGAACAGTTGCAGTCTCTTTCCATTCAAGCTAGAGCATTTTTGCTAATCTGTTCACCTCGAAACTTTTGTGAGTTTCCGTGTATTTTATTCCATTCCACTCATACCAAGAGACAATTCTTTTTGAGGTGTGTTTAGCTCTCTAGACTTAATTACTGCTGTGTTTGTCACATTGGCTGCAGTGAGATCGTGACATTAGGATTCCTGGGAGCCTGTGGTGGGCAGAATTTAAGACGGCTCCTCCATGATCTTCACTCTCTGGGTGAAAACCGTCGGTCAGCCCACACCCAGGATTGTTGATCAGTGCTGAAGGTCGTGAGGCTGTTTTTAGCAGAGTCTAAAACTTATGCAAAGCAGTAATTATAATTGAGCAAGCAAAATTGTCCTTTAACATGGAATCAATGCTGTTACACAATCACATAAGCCCTATCTTAGTCCGTTCAGGCTGCTCTAACAGAATACCAGAAATTGGGTGTCTTCTAAATAACAGAAATGTATTTTCTGAGTTCTGAAGGCTGAGCAGTACAAGATCATGGTGCCAGCAGGTTTGGTGTCTGGTGAGGGCCCACTTCTGGTTCACAGAAGTCCATATTTTTGCTGTAACCTCCCATGGCAGAAGGGGTAAGGTGGCCCTCTGGAGTTGTTTAATGAGGGTGCTAATCCCATTCATGAAAGCTGAGCCTTCATGACCACGTCACCCCCAAAGACCCCACCCCCAATATCATTACATTGGGGATTCCTTTGCAACATATGAACTTTGGGGGGACTCACATATTTGGACCATGGTGAGCCCCTTAAAAGCAGAGTTTTCTCCAGCTGGGAGCAGAAGGCGATGACAAAGAGCCTGGAAGGATAAGAAGGATCCGACATGCTCTTACTGGCTTTGAAGATGGAGAGGGCCACCTGTAAGGACCAGAGAGTGACCTGCAGGAGCTGAGAGTGACCCCTGGCCATCAAGCTTGGAGGGTCCCCTTAATTTTCTGCTAGAGGTACACAGTCAATGAACCTAGACACAATGACATGCTTAATAAAGATCTCTTGGGAAATGAGCAGTAAAGCAACATTGATTGGGCTCCTGCTGTATGCCAAGCCCATTTCGAGCTGTGAGGAAACAGAGCAGAGGCGCTTACACAGTCCAGTGAAGAAAGAAATCTTCCAGAATGATTCATAAGGACATATTCAGAGCCCGGCAGGGCTGAGGAAACAGCAGTGAATCAGACTCACTTTGGCCTTGGGGTGCCCACGGTGGGTAAAGCCAGACTCCGACTCACACCCAAAGTCACAGGCAGAGTGAAGCTTATACCTTTCGGAAAAAAGTAGGGGGAGGCTGGGTCACAGCCCTCAGCATCAGCACCTAGGCCGCAGCTCTGTGTTCCAGGAGCACTGCTGGAGGCAAGAGGGAGCAGAGGCCCTGGCTGGGGGCAAATCCCAACGCTGTGAGGACCTGGCTTCGCGGAGCCTGGAATATTCTAACGGGACCACTGAATTCGGTTATTATTTTTATTTATTTTGAGATAGGGTCTCGCTCTGTCACTGGGCTGGGGTGCAGTGGCACGATCAGGCGTTCAGAGCTCACTGCAGTCTCGACCTCCTGGGCTTAAGCAATCCTTCCGGCTCAGCCTCTCAAGTGGCTGGGACTACAGGTGCGCGCCACCACGCCCAGCTAATTTCTTCTGTTCTTTTGTAGGATTTTTCCCCTTGTTGCCCAGGCCGGTGTGGAACTCCTGAGCTCAAGGAATCCTCTCACTTCAGCCTCCCTAAATGCTGGGATTATAGGCGTAAGCCACGCGCCCCGACTGGGTGTTTATGATTTAGAATGTTGGGAACTTAGAGCAGTGCTTGGGACACGGTTATCAGCGTCAGCTGTTTCCTTAAACTAACGTGAAGTCGACTTCAACCTTCCAGCAGTGGGGCCCTAGAATCAATACCCAGGGAGCAGCGGCCCTAGTGCGGGCGGGGACGCGGGGTGCGCATGCGTGCGGGGGTATGCGGGTGCGCCAGTGCGCGTGCGCACGCAGGGCCGCCGAGGCGGGATCCCCGAATGCGGTTCTCGCTCGCTGCGTGGCGGTAAAGGACCCCGGGTGTCGTAAAAGGGCCGCAGTGGCAGCGCCCCGGCCGACGGCTGTTATCCCATTTTGGACGCCGTCCTCGCTGCGAAAAGTTGGGGCAACCTGTTGCTAGTCTGTTCGTTGGTGACAGCTAGGCTTCCGCGCTCGCTGCTGGTGGGCAGCCCCGCCGTGGCCCGCGGGCTGGAAGAGGCGGCGGCGTGATGCGGCCTGTGGACGCGGACGAGGCGCGGGAGCCCCGCGAGGACCCGGGCAGCCCGCTGAGCCCGGTGCCCCGCGCCGGCCGCGAGGACCTGGCCTCCCTGGAGCGCGAGCGCGCCCGGGCGCACTGGCGGGCCCGCAGGAAGCTGCTGGAGATCCAGAGCCTGCTCGACGCCATCAAGAGCGAGGTGGAGGCGGAGGAGCGGGGCGCCCGGGCCCCTGCACCCAGCCCGCGCGCGGAGGCGGAGGAGCGGGTGGCTCGGCTGTGTGCCGAGGCGGAGAGGAAGGCCGCGGAGGCGGCGCGGATGGGCAGAAGGATCGTGGAGCTGCACCAGCGGATCGCTGGCTGCTAGTGCTGCTGAGCCGGCGGGGTCGCGCGGGGAGGAGCCGAATCCGGCGGGGAGTGTCCCGCGTGGAAGGCGCTGGGCAGGCAGGGAGGGGAGCGCAGAGCCGTGCCACTCTCTCCGCCGAGTTGGTTTCATTCTTTTTTCATAGGTAATTAGAGAAAATAATTTGATAGGTTGTTGTAAAGAGTCATGACCACTTAAAGTATTTGCAGGACGTAGACCTGCTCTGTCAGTAGGTGGGGGGAGAGAGGTGTGAAGCGGAGGTACATGCTGGAAACCTGTGAATGTTATGAGATTGGAGCGTTTGCGATGACCTTCCTGCAGGTGGTAGCATTGTGCACAGGTAGTTGGGTTTGTTTGACTCCTGGATATGAGAATATCAAGCTCAAAATTTATGTTGTGATGATGAATTTCTCCCACTTGTACTTTAGGTGGCCGACTGACGAACTGTGTTCACCTGATAAGGATTCCTGGCCGTTTGGACAGGCTCATACCAAGAGAGCCTTTCGTTTTGTCTCCCCTGTTTTTCTGCCTGCGTTTTCTCCACGTTAGCCACTCAATTTCCAGTAGCATCCTGGCGGATGACTTCAGCATTAGATGGTCAGGTGTATTTTTTGATTAATAGGTGCATTCAGTTTGGAAAAGACAGCTTTTCATTAACGTCCCACGTAAAGGAATATGGCCTATACGGTACGTACGCTGCTGCGTGGTCATATTTGTTCCTGTGATCTTACTGTATTTTCAAAGTTTGGAAATATACATACCGTGTGCTTTGCAATTGTTTTATGCTTCCTGGAATTTGGGGATTCACGAGAGACTTGAGGTTAGAGTTCTGCAAGAGAGAAGACACTACATGATTGCAGCTGCTACATCAAGAACCCAAGCCCCAGTCAAGGTTGTGAATACGACTTTGGATGAGATTGAGAAGGCCCAGTGGACGGTTGGTCTTGAAGAGTGGCAGTGTATGGACTTGAGGACCTCTGCAGACCATCAGATCAAAGGAAGAGAGCTGTTTTGCGTGGGGTTTTTTTGTTGTTGTTTTTATAGCATTTTGCTTTTTCCTGGAATGTAATTTTCCTATGACATGTTAACCGGTGCACATCGTGTAACCTGTCTGGTGAGCAACCTACAATTGGGATGAGTTCTAGGTACATGTGTTTGCTGACTTTGGGGTAAACTTTGTTAAAATACAGTCTCTGCCACAAATGCATGTGAACTGTTCAGGGGCCCAGAGTGGCGGAGGAAGGAAAGCTTCAAGCTGGCCATGGGGGTCCCAAACAGTCATTCCAGGCTTTGATGATGACTAGCCTAGGTCATTAGAGCCCAGACTCCACAGAGACTAAAATCAGAGCTCTGCCTTGTTGTGATAAAGTTCCTTTACTTGGAAAAACAAATGCTGAAAGCCAGTTTTTAAACTCTTTGTGCAGATGACCAAAGCAATTGACTTGGCCAGGAAAAGGTAAGATAAATAAACATTTTTCAAAATGAGTTTCTCCTTGATAGTGGTCACTGTCAAATGGAGGTGAATTGCTTCTGACTTAGGAGTTGTTCAAAGCCTGTAGCCCAGAATGGCGTTTGAGCTGCAGAAGGGGAAGAAAGCAGACCTAGGGTAGGAAGCGGGTGCCTCATGAGGCCATGTGGTCTGGCCCCAGCCTTAGGAGAGCTGAAGTCCATTCAGGCAACTGGTATTCCCGGTGACCACAGAGCTCCACACTATGCCAGGCACTAGGACTTTCTTGGAGAGACTATCTAGCGGGTTGAGACAGATCTGAAGACATAATTACAGTACAGTGTTCGCAGTGCTGGTCTTTGATTCAACACATAAATTGAGCACCTACAGAGGCTGAGCCTACCTGACTGAACAGAGTGCTTGTAAAATTGCATCTGAGGGCCAGGCACGGTGGTTTGTGCCTTTAATCCCAATTCTTTGGGAGGCCTGAGCAGGAGGATTGCTTGAGGCCAGGAGTTTGAGATCAGCCTGGGCAACATGGTGAGACCCTGTCTCTAATAGAAAAAAAAAGTTGTATCTGTTATTCATAAGATGCTTAGTATTGTGTCTGGCCATAGTAAGTGCTGCCTAAGTATTTGTTAGATAACCCCTAAATGAGGAAAGCAGGAAAAAAAATGATATGTACCCATATTAGATAGTGTAAGTTCTGTGGGGGAAAAAATGGCATTGGGGGATCGGGTGTGGGGTTTCTAGTTGATTTGCATGGTCAGGTGACATGTCTGATACGACATTTGAGTGAAGGCTGATGTGTGGAATATACATGGGTGTCTAGGGAAAGAGTCTTCTAGACACAGGAATCAAGCAGGGTAAAAAGGAGAGGAACAGCATGAAGCCCCAGTGGGAAGGGAGGAAGCGGTGGGCACTGAGGTCAGAGGGAGAAGTGGCTGGATGCGAAGCTGGTGGGGGGTTGCCAGCCGAGGAGCGATGGGAGCTGACCATCTGTGAAGAGGTGGCTGCCGTGCTCAGGCCTGATAGTGGGAGACAAGGACAAGAGGGGGCAGCGCGGGGAGTTGGGGGCGGCGCGGGGAGTGGGGGGCGGCGCGGGGAGTGGGGGTTGGCGCGGGGAGTGGAGCACGAACTCTGTGGGTGGTGGCGGTTGTGGACTGCATTGGGAAGGTGCCGAGGGCCTGCCTATGGACACGAGAGGATTCAGCAACCGTTCTGAGGCTCGGGACCTGAGCGCCTATTTAGTACCATTTGTCAAACAAACTGGGCCACTTTTGAAAGTGAAGGGTGGCTCTATTAATAGAAATTCATTTGGGACTGCAGATGTAAACAAGGACTTTCACAGGCAAAGAGGTGCTTACTCTGTTTGGTGGGAGGACTTAGGGAGGAGTCCCCTCAGACCCACTGACTCTTGCTCTGAGCAGGAAGCATGGGCGCAGCTACACAAACAGCACCCCAAGCACGGGGAACACGAAACAGGCCAGGGGCCTAGCGCGGCCTGCAGAGGCCACCAGTGGGTGGAAACAGGGCGGTGGGGAATGGGGGGATCCTTCTGGAGACCTGTCTTTGAGTCTTGTGTCTCAGGTAAGGCAGGTGTGCTTACAGGTAAATACCTTTCCTTTTTTAAAAAAATTATCCCTGGGATTGTTAAATTTGCTTTAGCAAACTCATAAAGAGGAACATCATTCTATAGGATGTCAGTGGGATGGAAGGAGTAGAAGTCTAAGTAATGGTAGAAGTCAAAGACCACACAAAGGGGCCAGAAGGGAAATATTTTGCACTGGCCTATTGCCTCTGTTACCTCCCAGCCCAATTCCCTAAGCTCCCGCCAGTGTCAGGACACTGAGGATGTGCAAATGAGAAAACAAAAACCTGTATGACAAGAATCCACTTAGGATTAGGCACTTAACATACCTTATCTAATTTTCACAAATATCAGAGGTCATTTTATTATCCCCATTGTTCAGGTGAGGAAACTTCAGCCGAAAACAAAAGAGAAAACGAGCCTCAGAACCTTGCCTGGAAGAATTCAACTGGTGCCAAAGCTCTGTCACAACATCAGTAGCTCCTGGTGCGCCGTCTGCTTCCTCGACCCCCAGCAGGCACATCGGTCATGATGGTTTTCGAACCAATGGTTCAGAATGCTGAGTACTCGAGGGAGGGCTGCAGCAACAAGCGTGGGACTGAGTTTCTGGCCTCACAGAATGTTCCATGACAGACCCTTTTTGACTGACAAGGTGTGAGGTGTCGCTCAGGCTGAGTGAGATTCGGGGGCCTGAATGCAGGCATCCACCCTCTGCTCAGGTCCCATGTTCCAGATGTCTTCTGGACACCAACCAGTGGATGTCATAGGATGGATTCACCTCTTTGTTGATGTATTCATCCAGTGTGTTTTGCTGGCGATATACTAGGTCCTTGGGACACCAAGGAGCAGTTGGCTCCTTGGCACTGGAGTCATTGATTCATTTGTTCAAGTATTCTTTGAATAGGTACTGAAGACTTAGCATGCGCCAGGCCTGGAGTAGACATGACAGCCATCCTCTTGCACAGCTGCTGCCTTCAGAGGGTTTGCACCCTAGTGGGTGAGATGGCCACTTAGCAGCCCCTGCCTGTGGGTGAGAAGTGCTGAGCGTGAGCAAAGCCTAGGGTGGGTGGTATCTGCCCAGCCAGGCAATAGACAAGGCTCCTTCCCTGAGGGGTCACAGATCATGTGTTACATGGTTTAAGCCATGTGGGGATGTGGGCAGGGGAAGGGAAGGTATGTAGAAGGTTCCAATCTGGCTGGGTGCAGTGGCTCACGCCTGTAATCCCAGCACTTTGGGAGGCCGACGTGGGCAGATCACGAGGTCAGGAGATCGAGACCATGATGGCTAACACAGTGAAACCCCATCTATACTAAAAATACAAAAAATTAGCCAGGCATGGTGGCAGGTGCCTGTAGTCCCAGCTACTCGGGAGGCTGAGGCAGGAGAATGGCGTGAACCCAGGAGGTGGAGCTTGCAGTGAGCCGAGATCGTGCCACTGCACTCCAGCTTGGGCGACAGAGCGCGACTCCATCTCAAAAAATAAAAAAATAAAAAGGTTCCAATCTAACTGACCCCATCCTGTCAGCAGAGAACAGCTGAGGCCCAGCCCTCTACATTTGCATGTTTCCTTATCCTGCCTGACTCCTTTGATGAAGGCGGTTTGGATCTTGGGTGCCATGATGGTAAGAGCTGAGTTCGTGAACTTTGCATCTTAGGAGTCAAGGGCAATATCCTGTGTATGAGCCTAGAGGAAGGGAACACACTTGGGGAGGAAGAGCCCCGACCCCGCTGTACACCAGACTGCAGACAGCACACAAGGTGTGGACCGGGGTCCGGAAGGCAGTTCCATTCCTGACTGTGCTGATTACTCACCCTGTGGCCATCTCTTTGGGGGCCACCATAAAATGATAGATTTGCACTGTGTTTTCTCTGAGTTTCCTTGTAACCTTGACATTTCATTTGACTCAGATTCATGTAAAGTAACCAGCCACCTCTTGGGCAGTTTTAGCCTTGCTCCTAGAGGTAGCACCTTGAAGACTGGTATCTGAGGCCCTCTCAGAGACTTGGAATTTCATTGTATGGTCTAGCCACACTAGCACTTCCAAGTAGGTCCTATATTGGGACTAAGAGTCTCATTAGCAGAAGATTCCTGGGTTCCAGAGATGCCCTGAGACTACAACTGGATAAAGATTGCTGAACAGATGAAATTGATATTTGATCTTTCTCCCCATTGATTATGTCATATTACAACATAATTCTTGGGTATTCAAAGGCATCCTGGACTTGGGTCAGGGTGTGCCCATCAGTCTTATTATTTGTTCCATGTCCTGTAAGTCAGACACATTTTTCTGTGTTTCTTAATTCCCACAGTCATGGTTGCACATATACTCTGAGACATGGAAGAATGAAGAGTTCCTTAATATGGTCCCTTGAGTCATTGCACTCTGACAAACCAGTCCTCTTATCTTCCTCAGGTTTGTTTCCTCTCTTTCTTGAAAGAATTTTGCTGGGTATATAATTTTAGGTTGGCGAGTAGTTTCTCTTGGTGTCATTAACATATTATTTCACTAACTTTGGCTTCTATGGTTGAGAATTCAGCTGTCACTCCAGTGTTTGGCCCTTAGAATGGAATTGAAGTCTGGGCCCCAGACCACAAAGTGCAGAGTGGGCAGGCTTCTGCGGCCCCCCAGTCCAGTTTCTCGGTGCTCCTTCACTCCTGGCCACCTGGCTGCTTTGCTGTTTCCTGGCCGTGGCAAGCATGTGGTGTGGCCCCAGGGCCTCTGCCCATGTCTAATCCCCTGACTGGGACACTACTGCAGCTGAACCATGGTAAAAGTGGACAGAGAAAACATGAAGCATTCTTTGGAGAAGTTCTGCTGTGACGTGGCAGAGGAATAGGGTCACTGCAGAGGTAGCTGAAGGGAAGGTGTCTTTCTGTGTGTGACCATGTGTGATGTGGACAGCTGCACCGACTGACGGGACTGACCTGGTGCTGCAGGACAGACGGGATGCAGGTAGCACAGCTGCAGGCAGCAGACAGGGTGGCCCCTGCAGCTCCACCTGCAGGTCCCTGCCTCCCTCTGCACCTTGCAGAGTCCCTTCTCTGGCATCAGCCAGTTCCCATAACCCCATCCCCAACCTAATTCAATGAAGCCAGCAGCCAGAAGTGCGCCCACATTGACACTTCATTTCTAGAACATTTCCTTTGGGAACATTCCAACCACGACCCAAATGCCGCCCCCCGAAACCCCCAGCCCTCTCCCTGCTTTCTCCTAGAGTCGTGAACTTCAAGTTCTAGGGCACCCCAAGCAGCTCAGGCTCCCCTCATACAGCTTTCCCCACACTTTAGTCTGCCAAGCCTTCTGTGGCCTCTCAGGGCCCTCTCCCTCCTGGGGCAGTCCAGTTTGTTCTGAAGTTACATGTTGGATGATGATGGTTTATGAGCACTGACCCAGGAGCCTTTGCCCCAGGGCCTCCAGGGGAGCTGGCCTGAAAAGCTTCCACGAAAAGGAGGCCAAGTTCTGTCCTCCCCGAGTGGCGTCAGTGCCCTGGGCGCAAGGGCTCCCCCTGCCAGCTGCCCCCAGCCCCTGTGCAGCCCTCTGCTGACGGTGGAGAGCCCTCGCCGCCATTCAGCAGGCTGCCCCGAGTGCATTCAGCAGGTGCGCCTGCAGCGTGGAGGTGTGCAGGCAGGTGCAGTTCATGACCAAACGATGGTCGTGCTGTTTCTTAGTCAAGCTCACAGAAGCCCAGGCTCACTGTGGATCGTTTCTCACCCCACTCGGATCACAGGCAGCAGTCCTCTCAAGGCTCTGCCTGAGCACAGATGATAACAGATGGGGACTTCAGAACCCTTATCCGTGTGCAGTCTAGGGGACACGTGGTGGACAGCCTTTTGCGGGGGGATGTTTGATGTGCTACTTAGACTCCACAAAGGTCCCTTTGGAGAACTCATCCTGCAGGTCCGCTGTACTGGAGAAGGCACCAGTCTCGTCAGTGGCCAATCCAAGGAGCGTCATTTCCCAACTTTGTCATTATTCTCAGGATGCTACCAGCCCAGCCCTCCTGAGAGGTCCAACAACTGTGGCTGGAAGAGGGGAGCCCTTGTTAAAAGAAGACATTCCCAGCTGCCATCCAGAGCTCATGAAACCAAGTGTTCGGGGGCTGTGGGGCGGCTGGGCAGTGTTCTTTGCATTGCTTTGCTCTGGCCCTGGTGCAGGTGGAGGGAGGTGAGCAGAAGATACGTTCCCATTGTGTCTTCTGCATCTGTGAGCTGTACAGCTGTGGGGAGGGCACCAGGCCTTTCTGAATATCTCTCCCCACCCGTAAGATGGGCATGGTACCCCCTGCCTGTAACCCTGCCAGAACTGCTAGGATGACTGATTGGAGAAAACTTTGTCCTAGATTAGGGATTAAATTTTTCGCTAAGGAGCCAGATAGTAAATGCCATAAGAAGACCGGGCATGGTGGCTCATGCCTGTAATCCCAGCACTTCAGGAGGCCGGGGTGGGTGGATTACTTGAGGTCAGGAGTTCAAGACCAGCCTGGTCACCATGGTGAGACCCCCGTCTCTACTACAAAAAAAAAAAACAAAAACAAAAACAAAAATTAGCTGGGTGTGGTGGCATGCACCTGTAACCCCAGCTACTCAGGAGGCTGAGGCAGGAGAATTGCTTGAACCTGGGAGGCGGAGGTGGCAGTGAGCCAAGGTGGTGCCACTGCACTCCAGCCTGGGAGACAGAGTGAGAGTCTGTCTCAAAACAAAACAAAACAGAAAAAGTAAATGCTATAAGGTCTCTGTCACGGCTGCTGAACCTGAATAAGTCCAGTAAGATAATGCACCCCGGCCGGGCGCAGTGGCTCAAGCCTGTAATCCCAGCACTTTGGGAGGCCGAGACGGGCGGATCACGAGGTCAGGAGATCGAGACCATCCTGGCTAACACGGTGAAACCCCGTCTCTACTAAAAAAATACAAAAACTAGCCGGGCGAGGTGGCGGGCGCCTGTAGTCCCAGCTACTCTGGAGGCTGAGGCAGGAGAATGGCGTAAACCCGGGAGGCGGAGCTTGCAGTGAGCTGAGATCCGGCCACTGCACTCCAGCCTGGGCGACAGAGCAAGACTCTGTCTCAAAAAAAAAAAAAAAGATAATGCACCCCACTGGCAGGTTAGTGGAGAAAGGAAAACACATGAAGGTCTCATTAGACACAGAAAAGGCATTTCACGCAATCTAGTACGAGAACACTCATTTCAAAACTTCTCACCCACTAGTACTAGGTGGATAAAGTTGTACACTTACAACCTGCGGGAAACATTCTCCTTATGCCGGGGGACAATGGAGCCATGCCATGTAACATGATGGCAGCAGGGTGCTTGCGGCTGGAGCAGGAGGGCTGGGGCAGGGAGCAGTGGGGCAGAGATTTGGTTGGCAGTTTGGTTGGTTTTAAATAAACCTTTACCACCCATGCACCTGGGAAACAATCATGACTCACACCAGCCAGCTCTCCTCACCTAGTTGCAGAGAGCAGCCCAGGTCTGTTGTGGGCAGCAGAGTTTGGCAGGACGCTGACCCTCACCTTGACCCTGACCCCTCCAGTCCTCCACCCTCTGTCTCTCCTCTCCCAGCCCTGCCCACATACCACCCACAGCTCCAGGAAAGGGGCCCCTGTCCTGGGCTGGGCTCCAGGCATTCAGAGGTGGGTTGGATTCACCCTTGGCCTTTGCAGAGCTCCCAGGCCGCGGGCAGGGCCGGCGCTGGTAGAGAGGGAGGCCCTCACCAAAGGGAACAGAACGAGAAGGACGAGACCGCCTTGCTGGACTGCAGTGGAAAGCATGCGGGGAGGGCTCGGGTGGAAAGGCGAGCTGTGCCAGAGCAGGACAGTGGCCGTGGTGCCCCTGAGCCTAGGAAGGAAGATGCGCGCCTTCTCGCTGCTGCACACGCCAGTGCTGACTCCTACAAGCCGGGGCGTGTGGCAGCGTTCTTCTGGAAGAAACCACAGCCACTGTTAGGAGTTGCCCCAGACCGAGGGCTGGGCCTGGATCGGGTGAGGGTTTCCGTTTCATCAGGTGCTCTTCTAATCTCGCTTAAATTTTCTAAACCTGCTTGACAGCCTCTTTATTTAGTTGCTAGTATCAACAAAATGTATCTGAGTAGCAAGATTAGACTCCATTTTTTGTTTAGTTATTTATACTTCGTAGTGTTTAAAAAACTAATAAAAGTAATACTAGGCCAGGTGTGGTGGTTCAGGCCTGTAATCCCAGTGCTTTGTGAGGCTTGCTTGAGCCAAGGAGTTCAAGACCAGCCTGGGTAACATAGCAAGGCCCCGTCTCTACAAAAAGAATTTTTAAAAAATTAGTCCCCACTACTCAGGAGGCTGAAGCAGGAGGATGATTTGAGCCCAGGAGTTTGAGGCTGCAGTGAGCTGTGATCACACCACTGCACTCCAGCCTGGGCAGCAGAGTGAGACTCTGTCTCTAAAAAATTTAAAAAGTAATATTATACTTTTTTTTTTTTTTTTGAGACAGAGTCTCACTCTGTCACCCAGGCTGGAATGCAGTGGCTCAATCTTTGCTCACTGCAACCTCCAACTCCTGGGCTCGAGCGATTCTCCTGCCTCAGCCTCCCGAGTAGCTGGGATTACAGGCACCTACCACCACGCCTGGCTAATATTTGTATTTTTAGTAGAGATGGGGTTTCACCATGTTCGAGAAAGTCACCTCGAACCCCTGACCTCAGGTGATCCACCCACCTCGGCCTCCCAAAGTGCTAGGATTACAGGCATGAGCCACCGCGCCTGGCCACTCATTTTTAGAAATAAAGGTTAAAGGTAAAACATGTAAGCATTCAGATGCTTCAACTTTAGTCTCATTTCCGGGAGTCCGTCTAAAGCAAGAGGGGCTGGGCGGGGTTGCTCAGCAGCAGTCCCTGTCTGCACACCTCCAGGAACAGGCGCCACGGTGTCGCAATCACAGGCGCTGGCTGAGGGAAAACGTCTCGTGCACTTTATTCCGGGTCTTCACAGCCCCCCATGAGGCAGATGCCAGCGTGGCTCTGCGCAGCTCCCCTTCAGACTCCCGGTTCCAGAACAAACCGCTGCTCCACTCACAAGGACGAGAGACTCCCCTGCTCTGCCGCCACTTCAGGAGACAGCGGGCACCTGCTGAGGCTGAGATCTGGGGAAACAGCTCCTCTTTCCCGAGCTGGCAGGGCTGGGAGTGGCTGCACCTCATAGACCAATTCCAGGGAGCAGGACCCGTGAGCCCCCTTCTGGTCCCAGACCCAAGCCAGCTTCTCCAACCCAGCTTTCCTGTGAACAGGATGGCCAGGCTGTGGCTCTGGGGTCTTCCCAAGGGAAGGAGGAGGCAGGGGGCTTGCACACCCGCAGGCTTCGCCCTACTCCTCCCTACCCCACCTCTCTTGCCTGCACCGTG